CTCACCCCACCCCCACCCCCGCCCCCTGAGAATGGGCACAAAATCAGGTGGTCTGTGCTGGTGGGATTTTCTGGGTAGAGGGATCCTACTTCTCGCAAGAGTCTAAAAGTGTGGGGAACTAGACCACTCTTTACCATGGAGAGAGTGAGGTTAGGGACAGGGAGAAGCTTGCTCAGGAGCAGTAAATTAGTGGAAGACTCAGGAATCAATTCCAGTCCAAAGGGTTAATATACACTCAATTTACTGTGTTGTGAAGAGCAGCTTGAGGAAATCAATGCACCTGAGATGAACCCCAAAACAAAACTTTGTTCTTTTGTGACAAAAAAAGATTTCCCCAGGGTGCTTATCAGCATTCCTCCTACCCCTCTTTCACTGCCCTAAATACACAACGGGTGGGTGAACCACTCATCCAGGAATGTGCCTGATCAAACAGATCATGGATCAATATCATCTATAAAGAACAAAGTTCGGATGTCTGCTTTAGCTCATGTAATCTACCTACACCCCATGAGCCAAATACTAGTAGTCTCATTTTACCAAAAGAAAAAACTAAGGTGAGTAAAGCAGTTTGCTCAAGCTCGCCAAGCCAGTAAGTGACAGAGTAGGCCTTATTTCTGCCCTCCAGACCCACTGTGCTATTCCTCTTCTGAGAAGACCCTGAGCTTGGCAAGGATCCTATTCACAGCACTCCCAGGCCCAGAGTTCCAGGAATGTGACCCTGTGTTACACCAGCCTCTGGGGTCAGGGATTTGGTGACTGGGCTGGAGGTTGAACAAACAGAGCAGCAGAAAAGACAGCTCCGCTTCTCTGGTTCCCTACCTCCCTGTCCCCGCCTCTTCCTCCCTTCCTCAGGCGTCAGAGCAGAGACCGCAGAGAGCACAGAACCCAGGTCACCAAGTGTAGAGCTAGAGGCCCTGCCATGGCACTCCCAAGGCTTCTTCTGGTGCTGGCCCTGCTGGCGTGGGTTGTTCTGGCTGAACAAGGTGCAGAAGGGTGTTGCTGGCCATTTGGACCAATGTAGGGTGGGTGAGGATGACCGGGGCTTGGCTGTGCCAACTGACACCCCCTCCCCACAGAGTCATGCAAGAACCGCTGCACTGAGGGCTTCAATGCCGACAAGAAGTGTCAGTGCGATGAACTCTGCTCTTACTACCAGAGCTGCTGCGCCGACTACATAACAGAGTGCAAGCCCCAAGGTGCGTTCAGAATGGCTGGGTGGGCCTGGGGTCCCCTCTGCAGCTGGAGACTCATCACCACCCACTCTGCCTGCAGTGACTCGCGGGGATGTGTTCACTCTGCCAGAAGATGAGTATGGGGTCTCTGACTACCAGGAGACCACCATAGACAACACCAATGTTCATGTACAACCGGAGAACCCTACCCTCAGCCCTGACTTGCAGGCCGAGGGTGAAAGGATTTTTGAGCAGGCACCTGTTCTGAATCCTGAGGAAGAGGCCCCAGGACCAGAACAGGGGCCTGAGAGCACTGATCAAGGTATCTCCGGGTCCCCAGCAGAGGAGCTGTGCAGTGGGAAGCCCTTTGATGCCTTCACTGACCTCAAGAATGGTTCCCTCTTTGCCTTTCGAGGTGACTCAGGGGCAAGTCTTGGGGGTGGGTGGCCCCAGGAACTTGCCATTTCTCACACAGCCTTCTCCACTCTAGGGCAGTACTTCTATGAGCTGGATGAAAAGGCAGTGAGGCCTGGGTACCCCAGGCTCATCCGAGATGTCTGGGGTATCGAGGGACCCATTGATGCTGCCTTCACCCGCATCAACTGTCAGGGGAAGACCTACCTCTTCAAGGTGTCAGGCCCAGGGGCTCTGGGTCAGGGTCAAGGGTATCCAGCCAGGGGTTGAAGGCTGTTTTGCCCAGGACCGGGGTGGGCAAGAAGGCTGGATCTCGACCTGTGGGCCTGGGCTGAGGCTCTCTGAAGACAAGGAAACCCAAGGTTCCAGGTCCTGGGTGACAAGCCTGGAACTGGGATGCTGCCTTGGGTGGGGGATTCTGCTTCTGTGTCCAGTCAGACACCTCCTCATCCCTCTCCCCTTTCATACCCCTTAGGGTAGTCAATACTGGCGCTTCGAGGATGGTGTCCTGGACCCCGATTACCCCCGCAACATCTCTGAAGGCTTCGAGGGCATTCCAGATGACGTAGATGCAGCCTTGGCCCTCCCTGCTCATAGTTACAGTGGCCAGGAGCGGGCCTACTTCTTCAAGGGTACTCAGGGGGTAGAGCGGGGAATGAGCAGGTAGTGGAGCAGTCTTAGTTTTCTTCCACGCTCCACTGGGGATAGGCCTCAGATGATCCCCCCGCCCCCACATACACCAGGAGCTCCTAACTTCAACAGCCTTGGGGCTTTCCAGCCTTGCTTATGCCTACCCCTCCTCAGGCAAACAGTACTGGGAGTACAAGTTTCAGCACCAACCCAGTCGGGAGGAGTGTGAAGGTGGCTCCCCGTCAGCTGTGTTTGAACACTTTGCCCTGCTGCAGCGGGACATCTGGGAAAACATCTTTGAGCTTCTATTCTGGGGCAGATCCTCTGGTATGGAGTGGGGGAAGGTCTTGTTTCTCCCTCAAGAGGGCTGGGATCCTCAGGGCAGGGGGAGGGCTGGTCTGGCCAAAGGGGCTGTGATTGTGGAGCTATCAATCAAAAGTTGTTTGCTCTGGCCAGACTTTGCTTCTGTTGATCTTTGCGGGGAAGCTTACCTTCACCTGAACCCCACACCTTGGACTTTGCCTAACACAGCCAAAGGCATGGCCAGCAGAAGGAGGGGCTGTAGCTGAAGCAAACTGAGAGGGATATGGTAAAGGGAGACTAGGGGAGAGAACACTGAACAGGGAGTCAGAAGGCCAGGGTGCTGGGCACTGCCACTAGTTTGCTGTGTGTTCTCAGGCAAGGAACAGCCTGTCCTTGGGCACCTGATGAATTCTAAAGGCTCCACTGGGGGCAGGGTCTGGGCCCTATGGCTTCCCATTATCCCCTTCCTTGCCACAGGTAGTGCCGGACAGCCCCAGCTCATCAGCCAGGACTGGTCTGGTGTACCTGGGCAGGTGGACGCAGCCATGGCTGGCCAGATCTACATCTCAGGCTCCGCTCTCAGCTCCTCCCGGGCCAAGAATGTTAAGTTTAAGCGTCGCAACCGTAAACGCTACCGCTCACGCCGTGGCCGCAAGAACTTCAGTCGGAAATCCCGTTCAAGCTGGGATTTGTTCTCCAGTGAAGAGACTGGCCTGGGAGATTACAACCATGATGACTACGAGACGGCCTGGCTTGTGCCCGCCACCTGCGAGCCCATCCAGAGCGTCTACTTCTTCTCAGGAGGTGGGAGTCCCGGCCATCCCTGGTTCCCATGAGCTGAACACAGCGCTTGGAAAGTGACTCCAGAAAGCCCGGCCAGGAGTCCTTGGCTGCATTATGATATTCAGTTACTCTTCCTGGAGAGACACGGGTCTTCTTTCTCAGGGCAGGAGTGGATAGGGCCAGGCTGGGTCTCACATATTCTCTCAATCTCTCTTCCAGACAAGTACTACAGAGTCAACCTTCGCACACGGCAAGTGGACACTGTGAGCCCTCCCTACCCACGTAACATTGCCCAGTACTGGCTGGGATGTCCAGCCCCTGGCTTCCACTAGGAGTCCGAGCCTACACAGCTGGGCCCTCCACAGCTCCGTCCTCCAACCTCCCCCTCCCAGCTCAATAAAGATCCCTTGGCCCTGAGTTTAAGAGTATTGTCCTGACTGGCGTGGACAGGCAGGAGGCAGAGATCTGCCTGGGTAAAGAAGGGGAAGTTGGGCTATGGCTTGGGGGAGAGGACAGAGAAAAGCCTCTCTGTGTCCAGTCCATGTTGGGCTCAGGCCCTCTCTGTGAACTACGAAAGCTGTGGGCTGGGGAAGGCCTCATGAGGGCTAGCCTTCCTCCTGAGCTAAGCAGCCCCCAACAACCCACCAGCAGCTAAATTGGAGCTTGAACCCCTATGATGATAACAGGAGTTGCCAGGCTTCCCATCCCAGCCCTCAGTTTGCTTTGCTTCTTGGAGTTGACTAGGGTCTTGGACGAGAGGGAAGGGTCGGGAGAGGGGGGCGATGAGGTTCTGGTTCAGTTTTTCTGCCTATCCTGAGCCAGAAATGCAGTAGCTCAGATGCCTGAGTCCCTAGGGGAACTGCTACCCCCAACCCCACTGTTAAGATGAGTCGTTCTGTCCTGGGTCTGAGGTACAGGGCACTGAGGTTAAGAAGAGAGGGAAGGGCAGGAACTCAAAGGATTAATTCAAACACACCTACTCTTCTTAGAAAGTACCGTAGAAGACTTCCAAGGACAAGTACACTGTAAAAACAAACATCCTTCTTAAAACTTCTCAGTTGTACCTGTAGAACCTCCTCTGGTTCCAGGTTTTTGGACTCTAAGCAGCCCACCTGGGCTCGAGGGGCAAGAGAGAAAGGGCTAGATGCAGGCGAAGATCTAAAGTAGACCCGAGGGAGATCTAGTGGTGACAGCTGCTCCCCAGCCCTGCTGAGGGTGGGGTGGCTCCGTCTCATCTGCTGTCCCCTATCATCCTTTGTCCTGTCCAGCCCAGCAGCCCAGTCCTCAGTTGTGGGACAAGACTCCACCCACTCTCTCCTGAAGGCAGCCAGCACCAGGGTTGAGCCCTTCAGAAGGGGCAAGTGGAGCACTGGGAGCACTAGAGAGGGGGATCTTTTAGACTTCCTGGTTGGAGTTCTGGGATGATTTACATGAAGTATAGGATTTCAGACAGTTTGCAGTTCGAGGAGCAGGGCTGGGACCGGCTTCCTTTGTGAAGCCTGGAAGAGAAGGCCCCCCCACCCCACAATAAAATTCTAAGAAGCCCACCTGGGCTCGAGGGGCAAGAGAGAAAGGGCTAGATGCAGGCGAAGATCTAAAGTAGACCCGAGGGAGATCTAGTGGTGACAGCTGCTCCCCAGCCCTGCTGAGGGTGGGGTGGCTCCGTCTCATCTGCTGTCCCCTATCATCCTTTGTCCTGTCCAGCCCAGCAGCCCAGTCCTCAGTTGTGGGACAAGACTCCACCCACTCTCTCCTGAAGGCAGCCAGCACCAGGGTTGAGCGCTTCAGAAGGGGCAAGTGGAGCACTGGGAGCACTAGAGAGGGGGATCTTTTAGACTTCCTGGTTGGAGTTCTGGGATGATTTACATGAAGTATAGGATTTCAGACAGTTTGCAGTTCGAGGAGCAGGGCTGGGACCGGCTTCCTTTGTGAAGCCTGGAAGAGCAGGCCCCCCCACCCCGCAATTTTACTCCACCCATATCCTGCCTAGCCCCAACACTGCCCTTAGCTACCTATCTTTCCTCCCAGACTTCTCTGCCTCTCTCTAACTGGACACTAAACCTCTCCCCTTTTGGAGGCGGGGCCAGGCCTCTTAGCAGGATAAAACCCCAAACGGAAGGGTGTGGTTTGGGCACAGCCCTGGCATGGCCTGCTGGCTCCTCACTCTATGCCAGCTCCATGGCCAGCCCTGTGGATGCATCTCCAACAGGTGATCTGCTGGGAAAAGGGTGGGCAGGGGAAGGATGTGGGGAAGGTACGATAGGGAAGATTTGGGTGAATAGGTGTTTTAGGGTCTGTTGGGGGCTTTGAGGTTGGGACAGAGGCTCTCGAAGGGAGTTCTAGCTGGACCCTCACCTCGGCCCGCAGGCCATGCCAGTGGGTTGGGTCCCCACCGGAGAAAGCGGATCACCTTCAGCAAAGGGCAGCTGCTGGAGTTGGAGCGGGTATTTGCGGCACGGCCCTACCCTGACATTGGCACCCGTGAGGACCTGGCCCGGGTAACCTGCCTTCCTGAGGCCAAGATACAGGTGAGCTGTGACCCCCTCTCAGGGTGGAAGTACTCTCACACAGCCAGTTTCTGGGTTTGATCCACAGCACCTTCTCTCTGGGTATCCTGCCTCCAGCTTCTGCTTTCCCTTACCTGGGGGAAGGGGTATTACAGCGAGAAGAGATTCCTTCTTCTTCCCTTACCAGGTGTGGTTCCAGAACCGGCGGGCCAAGAGAATCAAGACTAGAAAGCCAGGACGCCTAAGTCCAAGGCCTGAGGCCCCTCAGAGACTCCATTCCCTTCCAGACACCCTCCAGCAGTCCCGGGAGCCCCAAACATTAGGCCAGCTTCAACCCTCTAGCAGCACACCTCAGTGCACCTCAGTGTGTCAACGTGTCTCCTGCCTGCCTCCTGGCTTGGGTCCAGGGCAGGACTGGGTAGGGGCTAAAGCTGCAGCCCCATGGGGACCAGCTGGGGCTTCAGGGTTTCACCTTCCTTCAGAGCGACCTCCTCCCCAGACTTCACTGGGCAGCCTGTCTGACCTCATCTATGCCTCAGCCATTGTCACCAACCTGGACCATTCCTAATCTAAGTCCAGAACTTGCAAGGCCCCACCTCTGGCCCCTGCAGCCCACCCTACCCTTTAGGATTGAACACATGAGTAGATTGTGGCTCCTTCTTTTACACGAGGGTGTTCTCTTGTGGGAAGGAAGTTCAGCTCAGGGAGGAATCCCTCGCTATGACTATCTTCCAGGCCAGACTAAATGCAGGTCCTAAGGAGTGACTGGGGCCTGGCTCCTGCTTCCCAGCACCCTGTACCTCTTGAGGAATAAGGAAGGGGTCCATGTTTTCCATCTCTCCTGCTAGACCTGGTAACCCAATTCTTCTCACCCCAGCTGAGGACACCTCCTCCCTCTAAAGATTGGGCAGCTGCCCCTCACCTTCAAGGTAGTACTAACTGCTAAGTGAGCTAGAAGATGTGATTGTTGATCCTAATTCTAGACTGCTAGAGACTAACCCTTTTATAGTTCAGGGGCCCTTCTCCTGACCTCCTACCACTGGGACAAATTAATCAGAACCACAGATCTGAAGAGGAAGTGATATTAAAATTATAAAGTAGAGATAGCCCAGGGCTTACGCTGATTTAATTTTCATAAAGATCAGATTGGCTGCCCTCTGACGTGGGGCTGTGGAGAAAACCTAATAGATTTAGAATGGGATGGGGGGGATGTGTGTGTGCTTGTGACAGCACTGGGTTTTGGTATCACTGTCATCTGTAATACCAACTAATCTCCAAATAAAACCCAAACTCTGTACCTTAATCTGGATTGTCGTGTGGTGCAAATAAATGTGGATGAGAGGGCTGTTTGCTTTTGAAATTTATCTCTATCACCTAATCCCTAAATAGGCCAAGTTCTACATAGATTCTGGGTGGGATGTATTACCCAGGCTCCTAGGGATTAGTTAAGAGGGATAGTTAATTGAAGGGCTTAGGGCTCTTGCTGACAGACCCTGGGTAGATGGGATCCTCTGCTGGCAACCCCTGCTCCTGGACTCACTGGTTCCAGAACACTCCAGCTGCCTCCACTTCTGGAGCTGCTCTGCTTCAGAGAGAAAAGCATGGAGTTTGCAATTAGATTCAAATCCTGGCTTTGCTATGTCACCTCACAACTCTCTCAAAGTCTACAAGCCTGAAAGCAGGAATATTGGTCTCTTCTCCGTTTTCGGAAGGAGAGCAATAACATAGGTGAAGGGCTTCACATGGTGTGTGACACATTGTAAAAGCTCTCGATACACTAGTTCCCCCCTCCTCTCCATACAGCAGGCCATGAGAAAATGAGAAGGCCTAAAACTTCTTGTTTCTCTGGCCTCCAGTCAAGCTCTCCTCCTTCTCCCTGGGAAGCCCTGGACCCAGACTGCACCAGGGAAAAGCAAGGCCTGGTGAGGCAGAGGAAGTGGCTGACAGCATACAGACTTGCCCCTTCTGTGATGAGAAGTGAAGGACAAGTCACCCGATTCCTATTTCTAACTGTGCCCTTGCACCTGGAAACCACCTTGTATAGTGGCCATTTCCTTGGCAGGAACTAGATTGCTTCCCTCTCTCTCCCCAGAAGCAGCACAGTACTTGGCCCATAAAGGACCGCTAAATAAGTGCTCAATGCCACAGAAGCCTTTCAGTTGGTGAGTAGAGGGTTGGGATCAAGTAAAGACCCCATTCTAATGACAGGGGTGTGTATGTGGAATGACCCCCATCTCATCATGAGAAGACACCCTGCATCAGAAGCCGTTTGAGGCCTGCTCTTTACCTGAAATTTGGAAGTATTCCAACCTGAATCCAGGTACCTAGAGGATATGAAAGCTTAAGTATATGTGGTCCCCTGGCCCAAAGAGTTCAGCACAGGTAAGTGCAGCCAGGAATCTCTACAAAGCTTCAGTAGAGCTTTTCAACTTAATCTTAAAAAACAGTTTAAGTGCTAGAAACACTGTAGAATGCCACCTACATTCTTTCTCACCATTGACGCTTCTTCCAACCAACAACAGAAAGCTTAAGATTTCTCAACAAAGTGATCTATGGAGAACAGAAGGGCCTAAAACCTGCCTTTCTCGCATACAGAATATTGCACTGAGAGGCTCAGACTTGCTATATATCAAGAAGAAACGGGCAAACGTTGTAGAGCAAATGCCTATTGAGCCAATGAGTGTACAATTTATAAGAACTGAGCTCTGGAAAAAAGAAAAGACCACAGGAGCTCATGCAGTGAAGGAACAGAAAGATGGTGTCTACCATTAGCAGCAGACCTTGCACAATTCTCAGAACTGTGAAAATCTTTGGGCTTTGCGTTGTCACAGATTTGAAATAAAAATACACCGAATACAATAAATATTTATTGGATAAATAACTAACACTGATATCATTTTTAAGTGCCTTATACAGATATGTCATCATATCACCAATCTAAGTTCAAAGAAGTTCAAAGAAGTTTAGTATTACACAGAGACTTCAGGACCACCTAGCAGGTCTTTGGCTCCATTTAACAGAGCAAGAACCACAGTGGGTCATTTGATCTCTCTCAGTCCGTTTTGTCTTCTGGAAAAGGGGCCTAAATCATTTCCTTTTCCAATCTCTGGGATTGTTGTAAAGACCAAAAGAAACTATGTAAAATAGTCAACTGTGAGCATTTACACAATATTTTTTATACTCACTCAAAAATGTTTAAGAACCCACATAAAATATCCTACTTCAGGCTTATGTATAACATGCATACACATCTGTAATGTGTACATTATGTATACATATTTACGTGTATGCTTATTTCTATTCATATATACATATATGAAAATAGGTCCTGTCCAAAAGGAACGTCTCCCTTTACTAGTTGAGACAATCCACAGTAGGCATACTCTCCCCACAAACACAAACAAGTACAAGGGATTTTGCAATTAAAAGGAGATGTACTGTTTTGCCATCTGAATTGTTTTCATTTAGGAGACAAGGGTGACAGGAAGATGGGAAGTTTAAGGAGGGCTGGTGAGTGATAGAGACAGGCAGAAGCATTTAGAAAACCTGAAAAAGGCAAGCAGAAGGAAGAGGATGAATTCAGAAACTAAGATTCCAAAAAGGTAGCTGCTTTCTTTTCAATTCTGCCATCCTGTACCAACCTGTTTTTCTCTTATTCGGTGTCCTCTGATCAGTTCCTCTTCCAGCACAAACTGGAGAAAGAGAATCCTTTTCGCTTTCTTGGAGGCTTCAGAGCTAAGTTACAGGTCTGTATCAAGGATGTGTGGAGCAAGGATGACGATTTATTTGTGCACTTGGGCAAGTTCAAGGCAGTATGGTCCACTTCTGGGAAGGCCTGGATTCTATTTACTATTGATGGAAAAAACCCATCCCCAGCAATGCCCAGAACATATTGGAGAAGGCAGATGGGCACCAGCGTCAGGAGAATATACTGACAGACTTCTGGCAACTGACAGAGGATGGGGCTCCCTACAGTAAGAGCAGGTAGCCCTGGCTCGGCCCTGACCAACCACAGCTGAGTATAAAGAGCCTGATGGGTAGACGGAGAGTCAGTGATAGGCAGCTGGGAGCCTGGAGCTCCTCCAAACCCTCTCCAGACTTCAATGATGAAGCACCAGTTATATCTCTCCCAACTCGCCTTCCATTGCCCGCACCATGACATACAGCTCAGCCAGACCCACCACAGAGGCGACGATCAACGCAGCCAGTACCCGCTGGGGAGAAAAAAAATCAGACTCAGGAGATGAAGGCCAGTCTCCAGCTCTGAAGCCTCTAGCACCTCAAATAAGAATGAAGAGGACCCCAGCCCAGCCCATTGTTGGGGGGAAGGGAAGAAAAGAGGATTCTCTTGAGGCTATTATCTATCCCCATGACTACTGGAAAGCGCGACTTCTCCTCGTTTATTGTACAAATATTTTTTCAATATCTAATCTATGCAATGCATTTTCACATATATCCTCCCTATCCTACCAATACCTCCACCACTTGGAGCACCCTATCTTGCCCAGTGCTTACTCACCGAGGCCATTTCTGTGAAGACATACTGGCTTCCAAGATAAGTACAGACAAAGGCAGCTACCACCGTGACAATGAAGTTGAAGATGGTGATGACCAGAGCTTTCACTGACCTCACTTTGGGAAAAAACCCAGGGAAGAAACCTTTAGGTTAGCATCCTCTAAGAGGCCCTCTTATCTCATGGCTGCCTCCCCCCATCAACTGGGTTTCCCTCAAACAAGCCTCAGTAGCTCAGGCTTAACCCCAGAGCATTGGAGTGGGAAGGAATGCCATGACCGACCCTTCCCAGGGAGATCTTTTAGCATCTGATTTCCTAGTACCTCACCTTGCTTTCCCAGGTCACTAAGAATTGCACCATGCCTTGAATCCTGGGAAAAAGAAAATGCAAGTGATTTCAGAATGGAAGCAGTTCAGAGGCAATCCAGAGAGTATTCATTTTCTTTCACCAAACATTAACTGTCTTCTCCATGGATTTTTTTTTGGCTGGGAACAGTTGGATTCTTTTCGGGACCACACGTCCAGCATTTCAGAGAAAGAATATAGGCTCCTAGTACCCATATGTCCCTCTCCTGTTCCAGGGCAGGAGCATGTCAGAGAACAGTAGGGAGCCCTGTCAGAACAAAGGCTCCAAGGCTCATTTCCACCTTCATACTATTAAGAATCAGTCACTATCTCAGTCCAGAGTCTCAGTGAATGAGTTGAGAATTATTTGGTTTGCATGTAGCGCAGAGCTTCTATGGTCCCTGAAAAGTACACAAACCAAGTTTCCACATTGTTTCTTTCCTCTGTGCCTCTTCCCAGTGCAGGATCCTGCTTTCCGGGGTTACTCAGTCTATGTATTAAAGAGCAAGCCCTTACCTGACAGGTAACATTGCGGGTGATCCGCTTATATTCCTCATTGGCCAGCTGTATCTTAATTTTCTCCAGACGGGCAACTAGTTCTGGGTTCTAAGTTAGAAAAATCAAACAAGAAGAATGACATTCACAACTTGCTAGAAAACATGTCACAATCACTGGTTTCAGGGAGCAAAGCACTGCTAAGGGTACCAGGAGGCCCATGTACCAGTTCAGCCTCCACTGCTTTGGAAATTGTCTTCTAAGAATCTATTTTCCAATCTGTCAAACATGGAGGACAATATCTAGTTCCCCTACCCCAGCTCCCAAGGATTTAAAAGACAAATTTTCAAGCCCAAAAAAGTTAATCCATAAATCTGGATGTATCATGAATAAGTCCAACTGAGCCAACACCCACGCTCACAAATGTATCCCTTACATACCCTAGGAGGCTTCACCACCTCTGGGAGATAGATTTCACTGCCTTCTAGGAGCTCATGAAGGTACAATGTGGAATCTAGGAAGAAAAGATTTCCACAAACATAATGATCCATAGAGCTGAGGTCGAAGGAGTAAGATCAGAGAAGGGTCTAGTCCTTCTATTCTTTCTACCAAAATAAAGCATATCTATTCTAATACCAATTCACCTTCAGGACCATTTTCAACTGGGAATAATTTAAGACAATTCCACATACTCATCTCCGAGTGCTACACAGCTGAGTTTAACTCAGCTCTCAGTTATCCTGCCAATGTCACAGTTAATACATAAGCCATTTATATTTGCATTTAGGTTAGGTCATTTCTGTGTCTTAAAGAGGTTTTAGTCATAGTGACGCTGAGTACTCAGGACACCGAGTACTCAGGACACCGTACTAGATGATCTCTAAGGTCATATTTCATTCCAAAAGTTAAGCAGTCTACCCTTTGCACTTCTAGATAGGCTACGTTAATTTCTTACAAAAGACCTTACATTGCCAGTTTGTCCTATTCTCTCTCTATATAGTTAAGGGAACTGAGGCCCGAGGAAGGAAAATGACTCCTCCAAGGGGAGTTAGTGGCAGAACTAGGACTAGAACTCAGATGCTACTCCCAGTTCAGACCTTTCGACGCAGCTTTTTATCACATTATCTAAAAATTAAAAAAAAAAAAGTCAAGATTTGACCACGTTTGCTTTTGAGATGAAAAGAAATCTAGATTCTGAAACAGGACAAGCACGCTATGCTAAGTTGGTTTCTCAGGTGGCTTAAAAGGAAGAAACTGAACCTGTGAGGTGGTACTGGGTTAGAACGTGGACTTCCTCAAGGGTCAAGTCGGCCTACTTGGGTCTGGAAATGAAACGGAGACTCTTAAGAGAGAAGAAATTGCACGAATAAATTTTGTAATCCATGAGAAATTCCCATGGAAGTTATAGAAGGGAGTGGGTTGCCCTAGGACTTATGAGGTGACTCTTTGGTTGGCTCCATGACTGTTCAGTGGGCGAAGGAGAGTGACGGATTTTTCCCTCGGAAGAATGCTAGAGGTGGGAAAAAGATCTCAGGAGCGTAGAGACTCTGGAAAAAAGAAGGCGACTCCGGACTGGAGAATGGACCTCACCTCTTTCTCTTAGGTACTGGTGCAGATCGCGGATCAGGCGGAAGGAAACCAGGCGTGCGGGACCACTGGGGCGATCACCACCCTTGTGCTTCTTCCCCAGCGCGGCCTCAAGCTCTGCCCGCAACTTCCGGGGCAGCTGCTCTGGCTCCAGCTCCCCGCCGGGGCCCAAAGCGCGCACGAGCCGCTCACCAGCAATCAAGAAAGACGCCATTTCTACTCAACCCTACGGTCAGGTGACCCGAGTGTGCATTTCCGCCAGCCATGCGCCGGAAGTATCTTGAGGATTCCTGGGCGGGGCGAGGCGGGACAGAAGGCCAAGGGGGCGGTACGCGGCGCGGGGCAGTGTGGGGCGGGGGCGGGACGCCTCCTGGCCGCAGGTCGGGTCCTGTGTCAGCAGCCCAGCAGGCGCTCGGGCGGGACATGGCGGGCTGTGTGGCCCGGCGGGCCCTGGCTGTGTGCAGCCGCTGGTGGTCTCGGTCGCTGACAGGGGCCCGGGGGCCGAGGCCATTCTGTGCGGCAGGTGGAGCTGGGGCCTTCCCACCAGCTGCGACCACGACACGGAGGCATCTCTCGTCCCGGTGAGGGACGGAGCGCGGGGTCGGGGCCCGGAGCCTAGAGAGCGTGTTCCCGGCCAGGGAGGAGGCCAGGAGGCCCAGCCGGCTGATGATGTTTGTAGTTCGACCCGAGAGAGGATCCCGGCCGGGAGACGACTTGCGCAGCCTGAGACATGTGCCAGGAATAGAGAAAGGAGTGTGGTCCAGAGCCCTGGTTTGAGCGAGGCTGGTTTGGAGGGGGAACTAGTAATCCTATCAGAGCAAATCCTACCTCCGAGCGTCGCTGTTAGTGGGCAGCCTTTTAAGCCCTAGGGCTTTTGACTTGAACCCCTAGCCCCGGATTCGGTTAAGGCTTCCCTCAAAGATGCTCTAAGTGAGAAACAGGACTTCTGAATCTCGGCCCTGCACAGGTCCTGGGTTTCAGTGTGACCTTGGGAAGACTGGTTCCCTCTGTGTGGCTTGGAGAAGGGGCTTGAGGCCATGAGGATTGCGTGAACACTGTCTCTAGGGATGGGACAGGCAGATCAAATTGGGGCTGGTTGAATCAACTGAGAGTGAGCATAATGTTCACATCTCCAAAATAGTAACAATAACAGTCCTTTAAAGAGCCCTTAGAAAGAGCACCTGTCCAGAGAGGTCCCTGAGAGAACTCACCTTTTAGTGGCTGAGATTAGACACTTATTCTGGGGGAGAGATGATAACTATTTATAATTAAAGACATGTGAAAGTTGATGTAAATCTGAACAAAACTATATTGAGAGATGGTGCAACGTAGAGACAGTAGGAAATCTAGAGAGGATGATTAAGCCCTTCAAGGGCAGGGGAAAACAGACATGGAATTAGAACAAATATTTTTGAGCTCCTCTTATACAGTAGGCTCTGAGGGGGAACACAGGCTAATCAGACACAGGCATTGTTCGCAGGGAACTTACAGTTTCTAATGGAGATAAGACATGGAAGCTAACTGAAATGAAAGATGGGAAGGACAGTTAAAATGCTGTAGGAGTTCAGGAGGGTGGTTCAGGGCAAAAAGAGGCAAGGAGTACAATTAAGCAGGGTATGAGGGCATGATATGACGAATGCTGAGGGCGAAGAGAAGAAAGTGATCTGGGAGTAGTCAGACCTAACACGGAAACCAAGGAGGGGCCTGTGACTAGACGTCAAAGGAGGAAAGGCAGAATCTCTGTGGAATGGTGATATGGCAGGACTTTTACCTGCTTCTGCTGGCTGGCCCCACTACCCTGACCCTTCTCTGCTGTCATTACCCTGGCTCTTCAGTATCCTAGTAGCTTTTTCTGAAAGATAAGTCCTGTTACCTCTTCAGCTCTTCAGTTGCTTGTTCTTTTCCTTCCTAATCAGAAACCGACCAGAGGGCAAAGTTTTGGAGACAGTTGGTGTGTTTGAGGTGCCAAAACAGAACGGAAAATATGAGACTGGGCAGGTGAGTGCTGGGCTGGGTCTTCTTTCATTTTCATGGTGTGCTCTGCTTCTGAAAGGGTCAGATATGGTTCATAGGCCTGAATGTTACGGTTTTCTGGTGCCAGACCAGAATCACAAATGTTTAAAGGTGGGTGTCTGTTTTCTTGGATTTGAATGCATTTCATTTATCAATGGGTTCTTTTTCCAAGCTTGCGAGAACAGAGATGGTTTGGACTATAGTAAGGAGGGAGCCAAGTTACTGAAGTGTCTTCTAACATAGTGGATGGTGGGAAGCCAATGGAGGGAGCTTTAAGAAAAGCAAACCTTTTATTTTATTTTATTTTTATGATTTTCAGTTTTGACATGGTTTCTTCTTTACATGCTTAGTTATAGGACTTCTGGTCACCTAGTCTTCAGATGGTTCTCCAGGTTGATTGTTCTATAATTTAGTTGTAATTTTAATGCATCATGGGAGGAAGCAAGCACGACGTTTACCTACTCTGACATCTTGACCGGACTCGGAAAAGCAAACCTTTGAATGCTTTGTCATAGTTGAACTTTTCACAGTATAGTAAGCTCTGGGTATGATGCTCTTTTTCTATATCAGCTTTGTGCCAGATCCACTGAGATGGATTTAGGCCCCTTGTAGGTAAGGAGGACCTATTGTTTATTCAGCATTTTTTTTTTTTTTTTTTTTTATGCCTACTATGGACCAGGCGTTGTGCATTGGAGTTAAATCAGAAAGCAGTGCCTTCAAAGAGTTGATAGTCTAGGAAAGCATTATGATATACAAATGGTCAATGACTGTGCACACTGTGCTAAGTGGAGGAGAGGTTAGGGAACGCTTCTTAGAGGCCTACGCTATGGCCTAAAGGGTGAGTAGAAGTCAGCCAGGTGAAGAGGGGGTAAGGGGTAAGAGTATTCTGAAATTGGTCTGGGTGGATCACAGAGTTCAAAGAAAAGAATGGCAAGACCTTGTGCTGGAGTTGGCGTATCTGTGCTGCTTAGTGGTCTGGGCCCCACCTGGATGGACTTGCTGGACTGCAGACTCACAGAGGCCTCTCTTTTCTCCTAGCTTTTCCTTCATAGTGTTTTTGGCTATCGAGGTGTCGTCCTGTTTCCCTGGCAGGCCAGACTTTATGACCGGGATGTGGCTTCTGCAGCTCCAGAAAAGTAAGTTTCCCTGTCATGCTTCACAGTGTCCTCAGGAGGAGGCCTGACTCATGGCAGACATACGTAATTGGGATCCCAGGGGTGAAGACAGTATCCTTCTGGGCCTTAGGAACAGACCCAGAGTGCTCTCCAGCACTAATACCCATGGAGATAAAGTGCTGAATGCCAGGGACAATCTTAAGCCAGAGGGTCCCTTTGGGCCTCTCAAGATGCTCTCCCAAGCTGTTCTCAGTTTGCATTATAATTATCCCAGAATGCATTTGGGGGACTAGTCTTCATGATTTTTTGATGTCCAGTTAGAATCTTTATCATCATTAGAGTACATTTAAAAAAAAGCCCCACCCCCATCAAATGATCCATTAAATGATCACAGCTCCATTAAATGATTATAGACATCCCCTAGGAGGTAAAAAGAACGGGGTACTCTGGGCTCCTGTCACTGAGGCAGCAATGTGATTTTCTCAGCATGGCCCCCTTCTTCTAAGAGGCAGCCAGAGAATAAGACAAATGATGACTTTGTGCCATGAGTCCTCCACATTCCATTTTTTACACCTGACAGGGGAGCAGCTGGGCTGGGTGTTGCTGAGCAGGTACCTAGCTGGTGCTACAGCCCCTTCAGATCAGGCACCAGTATGTTGAGACGAGGAGTGGGTCGGGAGCTGGGGCAGGCACTGCTTCTCTTTCTCTTAGGGTGATCTTTAGCTTCTTCTCCCTCCTTGTAGAGCAGAGAATCCTGCTGGCCATGGCTCTAAGGAGGTGAAAGGCAAAACTCACACTTATTATCAAGTGCTGATTGATGCCCGAGACTGTCCACATATAGTAAGTAAGCAAGACGGCTGGGCCTGGGGTTCCTCTCCATGGGAAAGGCCTGAACCCTGATGGGGGCAAAGAGAGAAGAGTCAAATGGAGCCCAGATCAGCACTGGGCCCTAGTCCTCAGGACTGGATAGTGACTAAGAAAGTCTGACTTGCTTCTTGTCTTAGTCTCAGAGATCTCAGACAGAAGCGGTGACTTTCTTGGCTAACCATGATGACAGCCGGGCCCTCTATGCCATCCCAGGTAAGTACAAGCATCTGAATGGTGCCTGTCGATAATGGGTCCAGTATGTCTCAGGGAGAAGATTCTGATGCCTTTTTGATGTCTTTTAATCTGCCGGGAGGGATTATAGATGCTGAGAGCAGTGGTGCCAGGGTCATCCCACCTTGCGCCAAGGTCAGGAATTGTGTTTCTTCTCAGCCCTGTTCCTCCCCTCTTACATGAGTTTCACTGTTTCTTTGCCTCTCTGTGCCAGGCCTGGACTATGTCAGCCATGAAGACATCCTCCCCTACACCTCCACTGATCAGGTTCCCATCCAGCATGAGCTCTTTGAAAGATTTCTTCTCTACGACCAGACAAAAGGTAATCTCTCTCAGAAAGAGAAGCTGGAAAGGGAAGACCCTTTCTTCAAAGATAGTATCATAGAAGTAATTTCAAGGCTTTATTTCCACAACCTTATTCAACCTCCCATTAGACCTATCAGGTAGATGGCCATTACCTCCTCCAGATATGGAAACTGAGGCTCAGGGATGAGGAGAAGGGACTGAAGGTTGCTAGTTAGTGGCAGAGCGAGGTCTGAAAACCAGGGCTCCTAACTCCCAATCCAGTTTTCTTCCCGTGATGTCACATACCTTCTCAGGGCTTACTCTTAGAAGTAGCTCTGTGCCTTCTTTTAGCCTGTGCTTTTGCTTCATGTTTGGGTGTCTTATTTACTTGGGCCACAACTGGGAAGGTTTTTCTAAGAGGAGCAATTGGAAAGTGGATGCAATGCCCTGGACTCTGGCCTGGACTAACCAGTCATCTTGTCCCAGCACCCCCTTTTGTGGCTCGGGAGACGCTACGGGCCTGGCAAGAGAAGAATCACCCCTGGCTGGAGCTTTCCGATGTCCACCGGGAAACAACCGAGAACATCCGCGTCACTGTCATCCCCTTCTACATGGGCATGAGAGTATGTCCCCAGCCTGGGCCCCTTCCCTCAGGACTAGGTCTCCAGATTTGTTGGGAAATGTGACTGTTGTAATGGGTTCCAAATTTCAACCATGTGCTTATAGTTCTGCTTTCGAGTGCTGCATGTATTGGGTGGGGTAGAACAGCCTCATGGTCATGGCTGACACCAAGACCGAGAGTAGGGAAACCCTTGGGTCCCAGAAGGAGTCCTCTGGACTGACTTTTCCTTCTCTTCTGGCTCAGAGGGAGCTGCGTTTATGAAGAACATACACATACTTGGTTAAATTGGTATAGGCTGATCTTCATACTTTGTATGCATTAGTCAAACATTTGAGATGTTTTTTGCCTGGCTGTAAGCTAGGTCCTGGGAATACTAATAAAAATGAAAGTATCCATGTCTTCCAGGAGTTCATGGTGTTGAGGGATCTCAATGGAACATACACTATACCAAGTATTGTAATAAGGTTGGGCTGTTGTAGGGCCAAGGAGGTGGTTAGCAGCCTGGGCCAGCAGTGATGGTATGGAGGGCAGCTGGCAGGGACGGTGGTTCAGAGAAAGGGAAGAGCCCTGTGGCTGATTTCCATTGGCATCCAGTTCTGTTGGTGATCTTAATAGGAAGAGGAAGAGGGAAGCCAGGGATAGACCCAGGGGAGGCTGCCCCCTCAGTGAGTTTGTTGGCCATAGTTCAGTCATCAACATCCAGATACTTGCAGCATTGTTCTGCTTCTGCAAGCTTCCTGGAGCACATGTACTCCATTGGAGAGATGTTGATTGGAGGGGACTTGGTCTTGCCCTCTGGGACTTAAATTCTGTGTGTTTTTTCCCTAGGAAGCACAGAATTCCCACGTCTACTGGGTGAGTGTCTCCCTTGGGAGGAGGAGCTCAGGAAGGGTGCCTGGAGGGGCATGTTGGGAGGTGTTTGCCTCTGGGGACTGTGGCCTGGGCAATGCAGGTGTCAGCCTTTGTTGCCTTTTGCTCTCCTAGAATTCTAAGTGGTCTGGCCCAGAGTTTACTTTCTCAGATGTGAACTTGCCTCTTCTCCCCCCACTTCCCCCATAGTGGCGCTACTGTATCCGCCTGGAGAACCTTGACAGTGATGTGGTACAGCTCCGGGAGCGACACTGGAGGATATTCAGTCTCTCCGGCACCTTGGAGACAGTGCGAGGCCGAGGGGTGGTGGGCAGGGTGAGCATCATCGGGCCAATAATGCCCAGTTCCTGGTGTTGCCAAGCAGGCCTCGGGGCTTAGTGCATGGTTTCCTCCTCTGTGGTCAGGGCAGAGGCTCCATGTGTGAATGCGCTGGTGACAAACCTCACAACAATCCCGTGAGATAGGTTTCTTACAACCCATTTCGTAGATGAAGAGAGAGAGACTGTGAAGTTAAATAACTAGCCCACGGCCCCATAGCTAGTAAGGGCAGGATCTGGATTTGAATCTAAGTGAGTTTGACATGAAAGCTGGTGTGTTTTTGTCGCCAGCGCAGCAGTACCTTTTTAAAAATATGAATTTGAATGCCATTAGGTGGGGCTTGCACACACAGCACCCCCCAACTACTGGTTGTCCTTCCTCTCTTTACATGTGTACATCCTCTGCTGGTTCTGATTTTGAAATTCCTATACTACCCCACCCTGTCTCCTGTTTCACGAAAAGTGGCCAGGAGCCACATTTAACAAGTATCTGTGCAAGTCAGCAGAGACTTGGGGAAGCAGAGTAGGATAGTGACTAAGAATAGGGCTTTGGAGATACATAATCTGGTTTCAAATGCCAGCTGTGTTCTTTACTTGCTGCATAACTGCAATTTAACCAAAATTTCAGTTTCTTACTGCTGAAATGGGAATCACATCTAGTACCTTATAAGTACTTAAAGACTTAAGTCAGCAAAGGTTCGCAGACCACCACCGTGGTGCCTGGCACCTAGACACTCGGAATGGACACTGAAGAGGGTATTTACAGAGTAGGTCCTGTACCCAGCATCTTTGCTCAGTGTCCTCAGACATTCAGTCTGAGATTATCTTTCCCAGAGTCAGAATAAAAGGCCTGGGTCCATGGCTGTGCAGCAGAGGAAACACTGGCAAGCAGTCACTGTAGGAGGTATGAGGAGGCATTCAGTCCTGATGAACTAGCAGTTGGCATCTGACCTCAGAATACAGGGAGCAGGTTTGGCCTGACCTATTTTGCTTGAACCCTTACAGGAACCAGTGTTATCCAAGGAGCAGCCTGCATTCCAATATAGCAGCCACGTCTCCCTGCAAGCTTCCAGTGGGCACATGTGGTGAGTGTGTGCTGGGGCAGGGGTAGCGCAACTCTAGACACAAGCTGTGGGTGAGAAAAGTGGGAGCGCATAGCTTGCAGTTAATTCTGGGCTACATTAAGTCCTGAGATGGAGCCTTATCATTGTTGTATGGGACTTGTCTGATTTTTTATGACTGTCCATTTTCCAGTTCCCTGTGGTTTTGTGGACTGGGGACCTAAGCCAAAGAAGTCTGGTGATTTGATGCTGTACCGAGTTGCCCATGTAGTTGGTTTTTTCTTCCCTGTTATTTCACTCTGTAACCTGTAAGTGTAATTGGGTAGCTTATGTGGTACGTATCTAAGGGCCAGAATCAGGACAGTTGTGTTTCTTTTCATGTAGGGCCAGGAAGGGCTCTTGAGTCTCTGGACTAGTGTTATCCTGACGTGAGTCAGGTAGGAGAGAGCCCAGGCCTACCTCATCTTTCTGTGGTTCTAAAGCTGAGGACATAGGGCTATCCAGATCCTGAAGAGGTCCTCAACCCTCATTCCCTCTAAACCAGCTTCTCTGACCCACAGGGGTACGTTCCGCTTCGAGAGGCCTGATGGTTCCCATTTTGATGTCCGGATCCCTCCTTTCTCCCTGGAAAGCAATAAAGATGAGAAGACACCACCCTCAGGCCTTCACTGGTAGGCCAGCTGAGGCCCTGAGTGCCCAAGCTCGGCCCCTGAAGAATAGCTCTTATCCTACAATTGCTGCAGAACTCTCTCTCCATCATGGGCCACAGCAGGTCTCTTTTTGGCACCATTTGATTGTGGGATTCTTTTTTTGGAGGGTGGGCTGTAACTGTTTTCTCCAGAGGACCCATGTAGGACTCCTCCAAGGCTGGCCTCCCCTATAAGCCTTGCCTGTAGTGTTCCAGTAGACCTTTCCACCAGGAACTCTGTGTTCAGCTGCCACAGGCCTGGAGGAGTTTCTAGGCCTATCACACAAGTCATTTTGAAATGTCAGGTTTGGTCAATAAACCAGTGCGCACTTGGCCACCCTTGCCATTTCTGTCCCCAGGATCTCAGCCTCCTTTTTTTGACCCAGCTGGGGAGGTAGGGGGACTTGCTTTCCTTGCTGTCTTTCCAGGAAGCTGCCCCTTCTACTAGGGTATGTATATTTCCCTCCTGAGGCTGGGGGTTGGCTGGACGTCTTCCAGGGTCATTGTGCCTCTCAGCCAGTGGGGTGGGGAGCTGGACTGGATTCTTGTTTTCTTCTTTACCTTCTGCCAAGGGGAGTGGGAGGCCAACATCAGGGTGAGAGGAGTGAGGCAAGCCAGTCAGGTTTCCTGGAACAATGGGCTTGCCAGCCATGAGCATGAATTTGTCAAACCTCCAGACTACAAATGCAGAAACTCAGCCGAGGAGCTTTAGGTGTATATAGATGGCAACTAAGCCAAGCTACTTTCTGAACTTCTCACAGATCTCCAAGAGCCAGAGATGAAATGTGCTGCATTTTACCCTGATTCTTAGGGTTCCTGCTCCCCTGCTTCCATAGCAATTGTTAAAGAGGTTGTTTATTCTTGAATTAATATTAAATCTCAGTTCCAGCCCATATTAGTGTTGTCCTTAATCCTCCACCAGGGGGAGCCTGGGTTGCAGGGCAACTGAGTACAGTCACTTAAAACTAAAGGAAAACACAAGGTCAGATGGTGAATACAAGTACAAGAATTAGTCCACAGCAGTGAGCTGACCAAGCTATACTCTTTAAGCACCGCTCTGTACCACTGCAGTGTAACACAATTTTATTAGAAATTAGTGTTTGTTTTCATCACCTACACTGAACAACAAAGAATTGTAGTTACATGATAAAGGAAGTTCTTTTATGCCAGGACCTGTGCCATCTTTCAGGCAGACCTTGATCAGATAACTGAATAAAATCCAATATGTGTGGTTAATAGCAAGCAGGCTTCCAGTTTTCTCAGAAACTGATGAGGTTTGGCTTTCATCCATACTTTCTGTTTACTTTCCCCTGGGTTGCTCAGAGTTGAAAAATTCACATAACCAAGAGCTGCTTTCTGAACAGGGCTGGGAAACTCAAAATTCTCTAAACCCTTATACCACAAAGTCTGACTTAAAAAGCTAAGATTACTTCAATGAGTTCAACGTTAGTATTTTTCTTAAGACCAAGGAGATATTTTCAATCAGAGAAAGTGCCCAGAGTCCCAGACTATCAAACTTTTTCAGGAAGAAAGACTAGCCACCACTGAGACAGCAGAGGATCTGAATGTCAAAGCAGTAAAGAGGCTACAGGGGCTGTGAAGGTCAAAGGGCAGTCGTTAAAATACCTCAGTGTAGAGCTGGGGCTTTGAGTATTAAAGGGCTTCAGAGGGGCAGCTCAGGAAATAGGCCAGTGGCCTCAGGCAGAAGTATTCCAGGCTCTATAGGAAAGCCACAAAGCCAAAACCAGAATCTGGCTAAAGAAATGGATTTGTCTTCAGTCTTGTTACTTCAGTGAGGCCTGGAAGAACTGTTAATAGCTGATCATCAGGGTGCTTCACCTGAGTCCATACATTCAAGACTGTGACAAGGGTAAAATAACTGACTAGTCACATTTCCCCTGTCCCATCATGTCCTTTCAGGTCCTTGTTGAGTATCTTACTAACCCTGGTCTAGCATTTGCCCATAGGCTCTATGGGGTCAGCCATAAGCAGCCACTTAGGGGCTTATAGTTAAGAGTAGTCAAGAGAGGTAAACTTGATAACCGATGTTCCTTTCCAAATGAGTAGATATTGCTAAGTGGCTGTGTTGCTTTATTAGGCTGGTTGGCTGAACACTCCCTCCCTAACGGCAT